GGTGAATCTAATAACCATAAATAAAAGTAGGTGTTACTAAAAAAAAGTTTAACTCAACACTGCAGTCTTGTGTGAATTAGTACTGGTGTTAAGATATCAACATTTGTGATTTAATACAGAAACGTTCACAGTATCGAAACAAACGTTTGTCAAGTTAGAGAAAAAGTAGCTGGGCCAAAACCAAAACAAAAAAGGCATTTTCTGCTATAGCTTGAAATGTTAGTTTGAACGTCACTTTATAAGGTGCCTATCGTGCTGTAGGGGAAGATCTCTAGCTGTCTTTTTCACTAGAAGGAGAACTCTTAAGCTGAGGAAGTGATACAGTATAGAGGGACGGTTTTGTTTAAACCTCCATGCTCAATTTTCACTCTTGGAAGGGCTAAGTGAAGCTCCAGATTGTTCTGCTTATCTTTGTTCTTCACTGAACCCCTTTACCAATAAATAAGAGCTTTTTTAACACTGGATTTCAGAATCGTTCTCAAGGTCAGAGAAACAAACATGGCTACGTGCAGGTTACACTGAGCATCACGGGCATGTAATATGTTTTTAGAATATAAAAATGTTAATTTCTGAGTTCATAACTTAGACTTTTGCTTTCATTTTATACATATATCTATGAATCATACTTTCAGCTGTAGATAAATAGGAAGGGGACTGAGCATTAAACAGTGCAGCTGTTTTAGTTCAGTTGCCCTCTTTATAGATATTTAGCAGTAAGAGGTTAAAGGCAGTTACCGCTCTTCAGGCTTGGGTGTTGTAATGCAGAAGACTCTTCTTTGCTGTTCATTTTTGAAAGAGTTATTCTTCAATCTCTCACTCACTACAGCAGAGTGATCTGGTACGCTCACATTCAAACCAGTGGATCAAATTCAACCAGTGGACTCCAGTGTTTTAATCAGTATTGGGAAAAGTTGGCAGGGATAAACCCGGAATCATTCCTCCCTGCATCCGATCGCTCTGTTCGTTCCCCGACATAACTTCTAGTGAAAGAGTCCGGACAAGGAGCCAGGCAGCGGGCAGGGTACGTACGTACTGCTGAGCAAGTAACTGACAGCATTGGTTCTTGTTGGTTGTTGCTTGTTTAGGAGTTGGTGCCGCTTTCCTTAGAGAAATCTCATAGATCCATCAATAATGCTGTATAGAGGTTTTCACTGGAGGCAGTGACAACAGTGGGGGGGTAACTCCACGTTTCTTCATCGCTTGAAGCACAAAGATTTTAAAGAGCTTTGTGAAGAAGACAGGAGTGACTTTGCTAGCTGTGTCCTTAAGACCATTGCTGTTTACGCGCTGTTGTGCCAAGACAGCAAGAAATCGACCTGCAAGGTAGCATGTCATAAGGGAGAGACGGGAATTGGCCCAACCTTACCGAATACTCAGGCTAATACAAGTAAGTGACCTACTGTGTCTTAGACAAACATAGGCACAATTAAATTGATATCTTAAGTCCGTCTTCAGTTTTAGAAAACAGTTTTATGATTAATTTCTGATGAGCTGTCCTGCTAGGTGGTTAATCAGAGCAAATAATTGTGTTTTTTTTTTAATGTCGTTTTATAAAAAGCTTGAATTTTCTTCTATTTTTAAGCAGTTGAGATGAAGGTAGTCCTAATAATTGGCGCTGTCCACAGCCAGAGTCAAAAATGAAGATGACGTTCTGGCTCAGTGGAATTTGACGACCATTTTAAATCTCTGACATCTGGGACTTTTAGCAAAGTGAAGACTCCGAATTAAGGGGGAAAGCTTAGCAGGCGTAATCCTTATTTCTGGATATAATCCTGTAGCGTGTTGCCCAAATTTGACACCTGTGGAATTTCGTGCCACCAAAAAAAAAAGTTGCTGTTCCACAGCTTCGTGGCTTTGAGCCTGGTAAATGAGCCCTGGGCTCTGTGTGGGTCAGTGCGCGCGCGCGCGGGCACGCATGCCACGCTCCCCAGGGAGCAGCTAGCCACAGGCTGCTGCTGCCTGTAGGTAAGTGCTCTTGTTAAGTTGTAAGGAGTTGTTCAAGTTAAGTAGTAAGGAGTTAAGCAAGTGCAAATAACTGGAAATGGCAATCTGGTGTGCTAATACTTCCATCATGAAGGAATTAAGCTGCTGGCATCTTGCCTGAGAAGCAGATGTGTAAAAAGGACTGTATTTGCTGCAGGAGGAGGTGTTTGGTGTGGAGGAGCCCAAAAGTGATGGTGGGGAGCAAGGAGAGAGAGGGAGAGGAAGAAAAAAAATAAAGACTGTTCCTTCATTAAAGCACATCACTGCAAAATTTGCTTCAGAAACAAAATTATTGGCTAAAAACAGCATTAGCTTTAGATTTGGCAAACCCCTCCCCCCTTCCCCCCCAAAAACTAAATTTGCGGGGAGACCAATTTTGCTTATTATGTGCCACGGTAATTAAATTCTCTGAGTTCATCAGTTTTAGAAACACTGAGCTAGCAGTAGCTAGCTTTAATGAGAAAAATCAGGTTACTCAAATATTTTCAGCATTTACCAATCTCTTACTATTTTTTTTTTTATAATCAAGAAATTGTGCCCTAGGATATCAGACTTGAGCTGTTTCCCAGGTCAGCTGCTGTTTTGAGCTGTATGCCTGTTTCTAGATCGCCAGGGGACATGCAGCGAGGCAGAAACTTTGCAGGTCTGTTAACATACTGGGTTCCTCGCTGCTCAAGTAATTATATTTCAATGGCAAGAAAAGCAATATATCCTTGTATCCCTACAAAGTGTCATTCAGGCTGAAGCTGGGCAATGTGCTGTGAAGACGTTTTTTGCAGTATATGCCTTCACTTAATTATCTGTTCATCACTTCACTCTAGAACCAGCCTGGCTTGTTAGCTGGGGAAGGAAATAGGAGCAATTCCCTCATGTAGGCATCTAAACCAGGCCTTGCCTCATAAAATATAGCTGAGGGACTAAAGTCTTTGCTAACTGGTGATTACGGCACTTGCTGAACAAGTAAGCGATTTGGATTCAAATCCTGCCTTTGCATGCTCTGATTTGAACCTGCAGTTCCCGTGAGCTAGCTGAGCAGCCGAACAAGTGCAGTCTTCCCTGTTAAAAGCTGTGCTACCATAAGAGAGCTGAACTGGTGACCATGCGTGACGGTCTTGCCTGAGAATTATGTCACTCACCTGAGAAGGGGAAGGTCCTGTTCCAAGTAAAAATAAAAAGCAAAGTATCTCTTTCTGGCTGGTTTAGGTGGGCAAGGTTCAAAGCATGCTTTAAGACTGTCTAGCATGTGACTTCACAGCACCACCAAGCCCTTGCAGCCCAGACCGGTGAGGCTCAGGCACTTACCAGCTGTCTACACGCATGGCACTAGTGAGACTGATGCCATTAGCTTCCTATGGACTGGTAGAAGTACGCACCCCAAGGCCTACAGGTGCCTCCTGCTACATTGCAGATCAGAAAGCACCCTGCATTTTAGCAGTGGGCTAGGTTATGTGGCTAACTACCTTTAGGGTTTGAGTTCCCCTTCCTGGTGGACTTGGTTCCACCTTCTGCTTTCCAGCATCCTCACTTTGTGAGAGAGCGAGAGAGACAGCTGAGCAGCTGCTTCAGGTCCTTTGAGCTGTTTGCCAGAACACTGATACTGATTCAGTGACATGGAAGCTGTAGCACTTGTGTTGGCTTTCATTTGGCGACTCACAAGTCAGCCACCTTTCCAGGTACAGCTCAATGCTTCCTTACATTTAACTTTGAACATGAGTTGGTTCAGTTTTTTTAAAGCCCTTCTGTGTTCATGCATGTTTACCTTACCATTCCTCATCCTCCACACCAAACATTCCTGCACTAGTTTGTTTTAATCTCAGCCTGTTCTAGCTGAGTCTGAAAGGCGCACGGGGATTATTTATGTGAAAGATGCTGTACATGACAGAGCTGCTACCACTGCCCTTTGCCTAGTCGCCTTCTGGAGACAGCACAGTCCTAACCCGCAGTGTTGAACTGCAAAGATGTGTTCTCTTTAGTCACTTACTTACATCAGCCAGGCCGGCCAGAGAAACAGCTTTAGCTGTTTTGGAAATGGCGGTTCCCTGCTCTGAAAGCAACTTCTCCT